AAACTTTTTAGATGTATTTACGTGATAAATAAATGTATTATTATTAAAACACATTTCATTCTTGGCACCTGATAACCCACCCACCGCTGTTATTGTGAAATGGTACGGTCGAAACAAAGCAAACACTGCAGCCTTTCAGGGGCCCAGAAAAGAAGAGCCAAAACACACACCCAAAAATTAAATCATAAGGAGGCAATGGCCAAATTTCTGGCCAAAAAATGTGTTAAGAAGTACTATATATGTCAGGCGAAGGTGAGGAGCTAACAGTTAGGCAGACTAGCAAAGCTTTAGATTGCTTAACATTTAAGGAACAACAGAGCTGCCAACTCTCAGGCATCAAGCGGTAGACTCACACAATTGAAGTCCAGGTGTTTCTAACTGAATTAAAAATAATTAATAGAAATTAATTCATTGAGGAGAGAAAAAGTGCAATAGTCATAAAAGAGGTTACTTCCCCTAACAAAGACAAAGGCGGAGGGAAGACTAAATTATACATGTGTGCTGACACAGCATTGATGATATTATATGAGAAAGTATTTTAATACATTATATTTTGAATTGTCACCTTCCACCTGAATTTTGTGTTTCCCTTTATATTAATAAAGATTAATAACACCAAGTTCCCCTGTAACAGCCTCAAGAAAATAGACCTACAGTAAACACTAGTCAGCAGCACATCACAAGTCATAGGATAGAGCTGCAAATATGGTTACAATATAATAAGCTATATAAGCCTCTGTTTATATTATTATCATCATTTCAGCTGACACAGCCATATACTCTATACAGTATTTTCAGTTCTGCACATAATTTGAGCAATAATTTGATTAATGTAGTGCTCAAGATTGAATTTGAAGATGAAGTGTATGAAGTGTATTTTTTCACTCATAATTTGATTTTATGATTTAATGATTTGCAGTAATTTCTTCAGTGTGTGATTTTACTTTTCTCTCATCACTTAAGCATTGAAGGACATTTTTGTCTCATGTTTTAAGTTAAAAGGAGGAACATAACTGTCACAGTCTAATTTGAAAGATTGAAAAAAAAAAAGCTGCGTTGATCTTTTGTGCTTTATAAATGTATTGAGTAATTAAATATGTATGCCAGCATGGCCTGGATGAGTCTACAACAGTGAATTTGGAAAAGGTTGTTGGGGACTCCATCTGTGACACAATAAAGCGAACGGCCAAGACGTTCTTTGAAATTGCCCGTGTTTGTATTAGAACTAAGGGTGGGTGGAGGTGATGCTGGAGTGTGCGTCAATGAAGGGCCCAGTTTGAAAAATGTTGTCCCCCGTGTCCAGATTCATTCAGAAGATTTTTCCCAATTGGTCCTTTACTAAGCCACGCCCCCCTTAGTTACTGTTGCTAAGTCCGACAATCTGTTGTCACAGTGCTGCCACTGTCTATAATTGCACTCCCTGGAAAAATATTGTTTAATTTTGGGAAAACTGAAAAAAACGAGCTCAGAAAGGAGACGAAAGGTTTGCATGATACATTTGAAGGTTGTATTCAGGATGTCAAACCGACATGAAACAAATAAAGACAGAAGTTAGCTAAACTTCAAATGTGCCTTCAGGATGTTAAAACCTGGATGACCTGTAATTTTCTAATGTTAAACTCAGATAAAACTGAAGAAAAGTTATTGTTCTGGGGCCCAAGCACCTCCGTGACGCATTATCTAAAGATATAGTTTCCCTTGATGGCATCGCCCTGGCCTCCAGCACCACTGTGAGGAATCTTGGAGTTATCTTTGATCAGGACATGTCGTTTAAGTCTCACATTAAGCAAATTTCAAGGACAACCTTTTTTCACCTACGTAATATTGTGAAAATCATTAACATCCTGTCTAAAAATGATGCAGAAAAACTAGTCCATGCATTTGTTACTTCTAGGCTGGATTACTGCAATTCCTGTAGTCTTGTGCTTTCTCGTCCCTCTCCTCTCTCCTCCTATCACTTCCTGCAGGTTTTCTGGCTCTGGAGCTGTGGAGTCTGGATCTGTGGCTGCAGGTCACCTGCTGCCCCCGTGTTCCTGCTCGACACCCTCTGCTGCAACGACTATTGTTACTAGTCCTATTGTTACTAGTCCTATTGTTATTATTGTTATATAATCATTAACATTACAACTGTTACCATTAACACTACTATACATATCTGTACCATTTTTCATTTAGTCTATAGCAACATCACCTTTACTGTCTGTACCTCTATGTGTGTATATTGTGTAGGCTGCCTCCCTCCCCTCTCTCTCCTTCCATCCCTCTCTTTTTCTTTCTGTTCCTCTCTTGCCCTCTCTCTCTCTCTCTCTCTCTCTCTCTCTCTCTCTCTCTCTCTCTCTCTCTCTCTCCTTCACCCCAACCGGTCGAGGCAGATGGCCGCCCACCCTGAGCCATGGTTCTGCTCGAGGTTTCTGCCTCTTAAAAGGAAGTTTTTCCTTGCCTCTGTCTCCTAGTGCTGCTCTTGGTGGGAACTGTTGGGCTTCTGTAAATAGCATCACAGAGTACGGTCTAGACCTGCTCTTTTATGAAAAGCGCTGTGAGATAACTGTTGTTGTGATTTGGCGCTATATAAATAAAATTGAATTGAATTGAATTGAACAATGGAAGGATTTAGCCGGAGTAGTGGTGATTACATATTGACAACATATTTCTGTGGTTTTGAATTTGGTTGTGGGCCCAGGCAGCCTTCCATTTTTAAATCGCCCACTAGAGGGCTGCAGCGCCGCAATAACCAGCCTAGTTCAAATGAACGAAATGACACAAAAAAAGATTAGTTCATTTTAATGAACGAGTCTGTCAAAAGAGTCGAACTTGTCATCACTAGTTGTATGTTGAGGACTATATAGTGAGCTCACTCTCATTAATAAAGCAACACTTTCGGACACTACTCCGATCATTATTTCTGTGCTGTTAATTACTTCATTGCCGTCGGACAATTAGTTTTTTCTATCAGTGCAATGCATGATGGTATGTAGGGCTTGGTTAGTGAACATCGGTTGTACACTTCTTTTCAAAATGCATTCTGGGATACACTGAGTGACCTATAACATAATAATAATCACTATACATTCGGACAGCTCTACAAAATGGAGAGCTCACTATATAGTCCACTATATAGTGAGTAGTGGGTGATTTCGGACACAGCTTATATCTTGGAAAAAATCTGCTAAAAAAAAGCTAGAAATGACTCCTTCTGCAGTCTGACACTTTCATGACCTCAGTTAGAGCGAGACCTATACTGTGTTGTGATTGGCCAGCTTCGTATTTGGGAGGTGGCTTAGGGAAGGGTCAAATGCTTTTGTTCGTAATCTCAGTGCCAGTGAATGCCTCTATCATTTCACTGAAGCTGTTTGAGTTGTGTACGTCCATAGTTCTTTCAGACAAAATATGAAAAGAGCTTTGAGGCAACTCGTCAGATTGATAGATCAGTGTGTGATCTATCAATGTACTGTTTGATTAAAAAACACCTGATCTCAGGGTCAGAGGTATCTGCCTCAATAACTTCTGAACATCCTCTAAAACAGCATAACTGGTAACCACAGACAAAGCAATGACATCACTGATTACATTGACAGATGTGCTTGCTGCGTGACTTGAAGTGTTGTATCGGTCAGTGACCGTTTCGTTCATTTGAACTAATCTTTTATATGACTTGGGAGTGACGAGTAGTGTCAGTGAGTGATTAGTTAATTTTCACGCATGTGTGAATGATCCTAGACTCTTGCGTGTACTAGTCACACAGCAGCTGCATGGGCTCAGCACAGGAAACATAAGTGATTAGTTTGTGACTCATATATGTGAGTCGTTCATTTGTCAAGTGACAGCTGGGCCACTGGCCGTGGAGCAGACATGAATGATTCGTTCACCACTCACGTGGGTCCTCTGAGTTTCGTTCATTCGGCAGGCTGACTTCCTGCCAGTGCTGGAGAATGAGAGGCAGGTTGGTTGTCAGGTTAGCAGTCACTCGACTGACATAAATAGCTATTATTATTGTTATTTATGTGACATTCAATAAAGCATACCGTTAACACAGCCATACTGCAACATTAACATTAGTCCTGCTAGTGTTTACATCGAACAGCTGATGGGAGTTATTCCACTTCACTGCCCTGGCAGGTTTCTACCGTGAGCCGAATTACCAGGAAGTTCGTCTCTTCTACAAAACAAACAGACCCAAAAAAAACACATTAACACAGCCACATTGCACGCAAGTGCTCCAGTGTGAGGTGGCCCATTCTGCTCCAGACCTGACAAACTGCTGCATTTTCTTCTAATAGTTTTTTTTTATAACTTGATGGCTTTATCCAGACTGTTATTAAATTAGTGTGTTTCTTCAAATCTAAAGTTTCGATTTTGCTCATGGAAATGGGACATTACTGTCTATATATATATTCTTATGCTTTTGTGAGATATATACAGTACCACCCCTCACATTATATCTTTTCATGTGACAACACTGAAGAAGTGACACTTTGCTACAATGTAAAGTAGTGAGTGTGCAGCCTGTTTACAGTGTAAATTTGCTGTTCCCTCAAAATAACACATCACACAGTCATTAATGTCTAAACCGCTGGCAACAAAAGTGAGTACACCCCTAAGTGAAAATGTCCAAATTGAGCCCAAAGTGTCAATATTTTGTGGCCACCATTATTTTCCAGCACTGCCATAACCTTCTTGGGCATGGAGTTCACAAGAGCTTCACAGGTTGCCACTGGAGTCCTCTTCCACTCCTCCATGACGACATCACGGAGCTGGTGGATGTTAGAGACCTTGTGCTCCTCCACCTTCTGTTGGAGGATGCCCCACATATGCTCAATAGTGTTTAGGTCTGGAGACATGCTCGGCCAGTCCGTCACCTTTACCCTCAGTGGTTGTCTTGGAGGTGTGTTTGGAATACTGCCCTGCGGCCCAGTCTCTGGAGGGAGGGGATCATGCTCTGCTTCAGTATGCTACAGTACATGTTGGCATTCATGGTTCCCTCAATGAACTATTGCTCCCCAGTGCCGGCAGCACTCATGCAGCCCCAGACCAGGACACTCCCTCCACCATGCTTGACTGGAGGTAAGACACACTTGTCTTTATACTCCTCACCTGGTTGCCGCCACACACACTTGACACCATCTGAACCAAATAAGTTTATCTAGGTCTCATCAGACCACAGGACATGTTTCCAGTAATCCATGTCCTTCGTCTGGGACGACAGCCATGCAGACCAATGTAACCCAGAATAAATAGTATACTGGGTTAAAAGAGTTTATTATAAGTAAATTTGATATTAAAAGTCATGGAATATTGATGGTAAAAATATGGTGATGTATTTTTGTTAAAACTGTTGTATGTTGCACATGTTATTTGATAAATAAGTAAAAGATAATGTTTAGTTAAAAAAACATGTTATGACGAGTTAATGGGTTGTATATGCAACTTGTCTGTGGTAATTGTGCTGGAGTCTAAGAATATGTTTTGATTGGGTGATTCGAGTGGGCATGAGGGGAGTGCATGAGCAGGTGCGGGAGGGGCGAGGTTGAGTGTGTGAGCGGAGTGATGGACAGAGAGGAGGAAAAAAAAGTTTGGAGAACTGTGTTAGCTTTGCAGACGAAGTAAAGTGAGAAGTCTTAACTAACGTTCATACCAAGCTGTGGTCTAATTTCGGGATTGTCTACTCGACATTCTGTGCTGGGATTATGTCTGCTAGTTCATGGGAAGTCGAAGAATCCACCGAGGAGTCTTGATTGACTGTTTCACGGGGTATGTAATGCTAGCTAAATAAAGTAGCACAGTAAGCTACATAGTACATTCATTGGAAAAGTGAACGGACAGTATATCTTCAGTTAGCTAGCAAAGCTAATCAAGTGGACTTATACAACGTTTTCAACGAGGAAACGCTGAAGAAAACCAGATAGCGCTCTGAGCTACCAGGCTGCTCAGAGTTCCTCTGGCCACGTGGGAAAAGGACACCGAAGGCTCATCTCTTTTGCTCCTGAGGAGTCTGTCCCCGCTCATGGGCATCGACACTGGGATTCAGTGTTGATATTAAGAAACAATAATCTAAAAGAACTCAGGGCCCTGCCCATACATACTTGCTAGAGGGTAGGAGCGCTACACCAATTTGATGCAGTGTGCGGTGTATGGTCTGAGCACTGACAGGCTGACCCCCCGCTTCCGCCCTTCAACCTCTGCAGCAATGCTGACAGCACTCATACGTCTGTTTCCCAAAGACAACCTCTGGATATGACGCTGAGCACGTGCACTCAGCTTCTTTGGTCGACCATGGTGAGGCCTGTTCTGAGTGGAACCTGTCCTGTTGAACCGCTGAATGATCTTGGCCACTGTGCTGTAGCTCACTTTCAGGATCTTGGCAGTCTTCTTATAGCCTGGGCCATCTTTATGTAGAGCAGCAATTCTTTTTTTCAGATCCTCAGAGTTCTTTTCCATGAGGTGCCATGTTGAACTTCCAGTGAACAGTATGAGGGAGTGTGTGCGCAAGAACACCAAATTTAACACAACTGCTCCCCATTCACACCTGAGACCTTGCAACACTAATGAGCCACATGAAATGGTTAATACATATATATATATATTCTTTTTTGGCCTGGAAGTCACTGACAGTAGGAGAAGTAGGCTGCTGTTTGTCCAGCTGCTCTGGCATTTTTTCCAGTATATTGGGGACTTTCTTGTTTTCTTTTTATTATTATTCTATTTATATTGTTTTATTTTTCTTTTATTGCAAGACAAAATACACAACATAGACTTGACAATACAATGGGGACAAGAAGACAGAAATGACAAAGTAAACAATAACAACAACAGCTGCAACAAAATTTCTTAATCTTGTGTGTGGATGTACATGTGTGTGTGTATGTGCTTGTGTCTGTGTGTGTATATACATGCCTCCCATGTTATCAGGGAAGGGGGATACCTATTGAATAGATAATAGAGATAGGCTTTAAATTTATTTTTCTCTTACTCTGCGTTGTAGGTGGTCCTCATCCCACGAATCAAGCTCCTGCAGTATATAAACCCCAGTCCTCCTCACCATTCTTCGCCAGATCGTCAGTTAACCACACGTGGTACATGTGTCAAGGCCTACCATCAACTCAAGTTAGATTCTTTCTGTGTGCTCCCTGGAGTAACCTGTATTTCTAAGTGCTCAGGATCACTTTTCCTCTGGAGGCTCTGCTGAACACCACGCTCTGCTCTGCTCACACCCCGCCTGGACAAACCAGCCCTCCGTGCTTGCCACTCTGCCTTGTTGAAACATATCACCCAGCCTTCTGTTGCACATCTCAGTAAAATCCTTTGTTACCCCTTTGAGCTGTTCCGAGTCTGCCTTTGAGTCCAAAAGTTCTCACATTATGACAGATACACATTGTTAGATCGGTTAGATTCACCACGATTCAGTCGTTCAGTTTATTTAAGGGAAACAACAATAAGTCTAATTCTTTTTTGTTTACCAGTGTAACCTGCATGGTACAAGAGAGGAAAAGGTGGGAAAAGTGCTGACTCATGTTAACTTTGAAGCGCTCGTTAAGTCCGAATGTGTCCCTTCCTTGATTATTTATCTTCCTTTAGTCTGTAAGGGTCCACCCATCAAAAGAATCAAAACAGCTTTTCATAAAAGAGTGCGACGGACTTCACATGACAGGATTCACAACGGATTAGTTGTGAATCCTGTCATGTGAAGTCCGTCGCTCTGTCTGCTAACATCTCTCATCCTGCACCCTGTTGTTGTCGTGATGTTCCTTTAAAATGAAAGCGCATGTTGGAGCTAGATCAAATGAATGACGTGTATTTGATATTACTGGATAAGTTTTATACATCTAATATTCTGTTTGAAATAAACTTTTTAAACTTTTTTCATAGTAATTTCAGTTTTGTGCAAATGGAATTAAAGGCCTGTCCCATATCGACACGTCCCAAATATAGGCAGTCAATTCAGTGATTTCAGTAAATAAAAAGCCCGGGCTATTATTCAAAGTTTTATGGTATATGCTATATTAATATTTGATGCAAAAGGTACCCTTCAGCGTCCGTATTAGACACCCCCCGGGCGCGTCTGCATGAGACGCCTTGTCTAAACCAGAAGCTCTAGTAGCTAGCTAGGTAGCTAGTACCTAGGTCCCTTGGGGAAAATTACATATGTTTTCTATTAGACGCATGAGGCGTCACTTGGTTTTATTCTCATTGGCCAACTTTTGTATTGAACCTCAAACTGAATTTTTTTGTTTGCTTGCTGGGATCCAGAAAGGAGGTTTTTGTTAAGAGATGGACTCATGGAGATTTAAACTGATATAAGGTCTCATTAATTGGTGGTTGAACTGTGGGTTTTGTATTGAGTAATGTATATACACTGTGGTAAACTTTATTTAATACCTTACATAACTTCAAAATATCTTTCTCTCTGAAATTATTATTATAAATTAATTTGATACTTCCCCTCCACCATTGCTCATACTAATAATTCAATTACCTAATTTAATCATAACATATAGGCCTGGCCTACAGGAAAGAACAGTGTATGTTTGATCTATCTAATAATGTGTTGGTCATACTATACAATCATTTATTGCTTGTCAGTTTTGAACAATACAGAAGATAAAGAGCTAGCTCAAAATATAATTTATGTAAATATAATCAGGCCAGTTAAGCCTGGTCCCCACCTTCACCAGCTTTGTCAAATAATACTCCATTAACTTTTTATTATAGTCAATAAGGTTGCAATCTAAAACTTCTCTGGAGATGGTCAAGAGTCGGTGCAAAAGAGTTTATTCCAAAACAGGACACAAAACCCCGTACAACATCCCTGCAGGTCGGAAGATCAATCCTATGGTCTGCTGACAGTCTTATATATTCCCCTCTGGGCTGGTTTGCCCCCTCCTTTCCTCATGATGAACTTCTTTTCCTCTGCTGTTCTGCTGTTTACATGTGTTATTTTACCAATTAACAATGTGCTCCAGCTGTCATTTATTACTGTATTGTTGATTTACTACTGGACAAGAAGTTCACCATTTACATTTCAATTTCAGTCTCACCGTGTTTTTTAAAAGTTACGCATGCTTAATTTGACACATAATTATATTTTTTAAACAATTAATATAAGATTAACATAAGTACTTTTGCATCTTTCATTAATGCTTGGTTTCTTACAGCAATCTTGATGTTATGCTGCCTGTTTTCTGCTTTCTGCTTATCATCTCTCTGTCGTGTTTTCATGAAGCATCTGATGGTTTTTTGGTCATCCACTATCTGACGTAATTTCAGTAAGCTTCTGTCGCTTTTTGTGTCATCCACTATCTGACGTGAAAAGTTAAGGAAAAAATCCTTCAGCAAGTACACTCAAAGTTCACATAGGCTTTAATAATCAGAGGTTGGAAGTTGACAATCAACCCCTTAATTAAGCATATAGTCTTAATTGGTCATTTAAACATGTAGTCTTAATATCAGCAGACTAAGTTGTTCCTCATGCAGTCATAACAACAGTGTCTCAGTTCTCGCGTGCATTAATGAATTAATCTCTAAACGTCATGTCAAAGTATTGGGTGTTCCAGTTATGCTGGCTGTGACTACCTTAACAAAATGGAAAGCATGATATTTGAAAGTGCATTATTTTAAATGTCAAAATTTATTTTATTTTTCTCAGTAACTTGTAACAATAAATACAATAAGGATTTGAAATTAAGGGGAGTAAAAGTACAAACCCCCATAAAAGAAAATACTCAACCTCAACATTTGACGTAAGTAAAGTACTTGAGTAAAATAACCCCTAAGTGAGGTCACTAAGACAAAACTGAAAATATCTTGGAGCTTTTTTTCTGATCCACACTCTGGAGACTGAAATTACAGTTATTTAAGATACAGGTGCTGGTCATATAATTAGAATATCATCAAAAACTTGATTCATGTCAGTAAGTCCATTCCAAAAGTGAAACTTGTATAATGTATACATTCATTCCACACAGACTGATATATTTCAAGTGTTCATTCCTTTTAATTTTGATGATTATAACTGACAACTAATGAAAACCTCCAAATCAGTATCTCAGAAAATTAGAATATTGTGAAAAGGATCAATATTGAAGACACCTGGTGCCACACTCTAATCAGCTAATTAACTCAAAACACCTGCAAAGGCCTTTAAATGGTCTCTCAGTCTAGTTCTGTAGGCTACACAATCATGGGGAAGACTGCTGACTTGACAGCTCTCCAAAAGACGACCACTGACACCTTGCACAAGGAGGGCAAGACACAAAAGGTCTTTGCTAAAGAGGCTGGCTGTTCACAGAGCTCTGTGTCCAAGCACATTAATAGAGAGGCGAAGGGAAGGAAAAGATGTGGTAGAAAAAAGTGTACAAGCAATAGGGATAGCCGCACCCTGGAGAGGATTGTGAAACAAAACCCATTCAAAAATGTGGGGGAGATTCACCAAGAGTGGACTGCAGCTGGAGTCAGTGCTTCAAGAAGCACCACACACAGACGTATGCAAGACATGGGTTTCAGCTGTCGCATTCCTTTTGTCAAGCCGCTCTTGAACAAGACACAGCGTCAGAAGCGTCTCGCCTGGGCTAAAGACAAAAAGGACTGGACTGCTGCTGAGTGGCCCAAAGTTATGTTCTCTGATGAAAGTAAATTTTGCATTTCCTTTGGAAATCAAGGTCCCAGAGTCTGGAGGAAGAGAGGAGAGGTACAGAATCCACGTTGCTTGAAGTCCAGTGTAAAGTTTCCACAGTCAGTGATGGTTTGGGGTGCCATGTCATCTGCTGGTGTTGGTCTACTGTGTTTTCTGAGGTCCAAGGTCAACGCAGCAGTCTACCAGGAAGTTTTAGAGCACTTCATGCTTCCTGCTGCTGACCAACTTTATGGAGACTGCAGATAGTTCCTGGAAGTCCTAGAAGGGCAAAACCTTGGTATTAAAAAGCAGCTCATTTTTGTCTAGGAGAAAAGAAGGAAACAACTATGAGATCTCATCTTGGATTTTGCTTTCCTATGGGGTGAGATATTAATAATAACGTTATTAATAATAATAATTATTAATAACGTTATTTTAAATTAAATTTACAAAGGAAATTTCAATACAGGTTTTTTATTTCATATTCCACCATTCCATTTTTCCTGGCACGCACCCCCAGGGTTCATTCGTCACACTGGGAATTGCTGGAAGCTCAGATCAGCCAGCTAAACGTTTAGGTGGTAGAAAAAAATATAATGTTGTTGGATTAGTTTCATGTAGTTACTCTGTCTCTCCAACTTTGTTTTGACTTTGTCGGTTACGCTAGCAAGACAATCAACTGATCACTAATTGGCAATAAAAGGGCAGCTTCTAGCATCGAAGTTCAGATCAGCCAGCTAAACTTTTACTGCCCTGGTAGAAAAAAAATGTAGTTGGATTGTAATTTAATGTAGTTATTCTCCAGCGCTCTGTAATGGCTTAGTTATGTGGACAGAAATGTGCCCTTAACTTCCTTAGACAAACAGATGATAAATATTATCGGCAATAAAACAGTACCAGCAGGGAAGCTCCGACCAGCAGCTTGCCCTGCTGGGAAACATGTATTTCTATTTACTGCTAATGAAGATATATAACAAGACTGTGTGCCTATCAAGTAACCAGTAGTGAATACTTTCAGAATTTGCATTAAAAAAATGTTATTGGATATTGCTTCCCTACTCTGCACACAAATGTGTAATTTGTTCTGTCACATTACTAAATTCTCATTAAAAACATTGCACCATTTTAGACATTTTGGTAATATTTGCATGCTTATCTAATTAAGCAAAGCCAGATGAGCTTTGATCCTCACCAGCCAATCAATGCCTTTGTAAACTTCATGTATTATGTGGTTTATAATGGACTGTGGTGCAGAAACAGTGAGCTTACATTGTCCTGTTATCTGTCAGTGGTCATACTTGATGCACTAGATGTGATAGTTTTTGAGATGTTCTCCATTTACTTTGGTATGTTAGTCCAGATGAGCCAACCCTCCCAAGATGTAAAAATATGATTACAGTACAGTAAAATGTATTACAGGAGTATGAGACATTATGTAACATTTCTTGATGTGGCTGTTGTTTAATGAACAAGTAACAATAATATTCACACAATCATATGGTTTTACCTAATAATTAAGTTAATATAATTTCTTAACATATCTATCTAGAGAAACCTCATTTCTTGACTGACATCTTTTGTCCTGTCTCAGGCACCGTAGCTATACAACTCACTTGGATAGGGAAGGGGGGGTGCAATTTGCAACCCTCACCACTAGATGCCACTAAAACTTACACACTTAACCTTTAAGAATATTGCTATTACACAATAGTGAACAGTTTCATCTCCAGTGATTAAAAACATTTTGTTTTCTTGATTTGAAAGATTTAGTTGGATCATTTTGAATAGGCTGATTTGCAGTAACCTTCTTTGACTGAGACCACTTTTGCACATGTGCGGAATGGGTCCGGCAGGCCAGAGCCCTATAGAGAGAGAGTTGCGGAGGTGCAAAATGCTTGATCGTCACCTGATTCATGGAGACTGCAGATAGTTCCTGGAAGTCCTAGAAGGGCAATTTGAAAATGAACGAGAGAAATGTCAGATCTGCGATTTTAAGAGTTTTTTGGTGATTTATACAATAAATGCGTTGATTTACGATGTTTGTACAGAAAACTGACACATGTATGTAGTTACATTATTATTTTTTAATAAGAAGGACATATATGACAGTAATAACTATAATCACCTACCTTGTTAACATGTTTTGGCTAATGTGTTTTCAAGAGGAAAACACTTTCCAATGTTACATAGGAAAGTGTGTTCCTCTTGAAAACACGTTTTGAAATTCAGATCAGATTTAACTTTCTAAC